GCCTCCTCTAGCCCACCCCTGCCCCCCACCCTAGGCCTTCACCCCCTTATTGTCTGTGTCCATGGGATATGCATATGAAGTCAAATACATCTGACAGCAAACTACTTTAGAACTTAGTCCACTGTCTTTTGTAGTATTTGTTTCTCTCTTGGGAGTATTTGGCTCATTATATGAAATTTCCATTTTTGCATTTGATCATACCAAGTTGCTATTTTTGCAAGTCACAAATTGTCCAATGTTGGCAATTTGATGTTTCATCCTAAACACACCCCTCTATACACCTCATCATTGGAGTGTAGCTATTTCCCGCCTCGCTACACGAAGGGTGGGCGGGGTTTGAGGCTTGTTTTGCTGAGGGTGCACCTGAACAGAAGTGATTTAGACCACGTTCCCGCTCTCTGACAAGGCTCTGAGTGACGATGTGAGCGCAGGGAGCAAGGGTGGGGACACAGCCATCGCTCGCTACCGCCTGTTCCACTTGGATGTTAGCAAAACCGGTGTCTTTCATCTCTCAGGAGCGGGCTGGGCGGCGAAGGGGGCCACCTGGACGGTGGCGGAAGAAGGGTTCCCTCTGGGTGGGGGGCCACCGTGCGATATGCAGACGGTGTATCGTAGAAACATACACGTGAAACCGACACAATCCTTCTAACCAATGTCACCCCCACAAATTTCATTTAAAAATCTGTTATTTGGAAATAAGATCAAACTTACGGGAAGTTGCACCAAGAAAGTGCAGCACTCACACACGCCCAGCTCTCGCTGCGATGAGCATCACACACATACTGCAAGTGAGTCCTGTTTGCGTTTCAGATGCGCTTTTCCAGCTTGAATCTCACCGTCAGGGCGGAGCTTCGGAGTGAAAATGCGTCGCTGGTGCTCAGCCCCAGCAGCCAGCAGAGAGAGGTGAGTGGGCTCCGGGCGGTGAAACATTGTCGTCCTGCCCAAGGGGTGACCTGGTGTGTGGCCTTTGCTCAGAGCCCAGCAGTGACTAGTCCCGCCCCCAGGGGGCGACAGACACTTTTGCTTCAAATTGTACTTGATCCACCTCAAGTGTGAGTCCAGCCTCTTTCTTCTTAGTGAGAAACGGTGGGGTAGAAGGGGTGGCGGGGGGGAGACCATGGCGTGTGCCGTTAACACACCACCTCTGACTCCACTGCTTCCAACTCTCCCAGTCAATCGATGTGTTTATTTTCAACGCGATGACGAAGAAAGCATCTGTAACTCCCGCCTGAACACTGACATGTAAACCGCACGGTGTCCGCAGGGCAGATTCGGAAAGCAGTTCCTGTACAGAGAGGGTCTTCCCCTCTCCGGGAACACCTGCCATTTCCCAGTTTCCCTCACTTAGTCACCGGGAAACATGAAACAGGAATGGAGCCTTATTCCCTCGCACACGCTCAGGCCTGAGCCCTTGGCGACAGTGACAGGGTTTGAGATGTCCCTCTTGCCCCGTTGCTAAGTGAGGCTGAAGCGTTAGCTACGGATGTGGGTCCTTTGGCATCACTCCCTCACATCACGGACGGGTGGGCTGTGCCGTGGGGCTAGTACAGAGAGGGTCTTCCCCTCTCCGGGAACACCTGCCATTTCCCAGTTTCCCTCACTTAGTCACCGGGAAACATGAAACAGGAATGGAGCCTTATTCCCTCGCACACGCTCAGGCCTGAGCCCTTGGCGACAGTGAAAGGGTTTGAGATGTTCGTCTTGCCCCGTTGCTAAGTGAGGCTGAAGCGTTGGCTACGGATATGGGTCCTTCGGCATCACTCCCTCCAGTCACGGACGGGTGGGATGCGCCGTGGGGCTTGCTATCAAGTCTCTTCGGAAGCTACCTCATGTTCAGATGTTTTAACGTTTTGTATTTCAAAGTATTATTTTAAATAATTTAAATGTCAATGACCTCATAAATGTTCGCCTTCAAAGAATGTTTGGGTACAACACATAGAACATATGCATAGAACGTGTACCTACTGTCTAAGCAGCGCTGAGTGGATAGATGCGAGGTTGTCCCCTATAAATATTTCTCTCTTTTCCACGTCCAGCGTGGCTAGAGAGCGGTCCGGTTCCTGAGCAGGGGCGGCTGGGATTGAGAAAATAAAAGAAAGAGACAGACACAGAGATGGAAGGAAAAAGCTGGGGCCGGGTGGGACAGCCGTCCTCTGATGGAGAGACAGGGACCCAGAGCCGATACAGCGAGTTTACTTTATACGGCAAAATACCAGGGAGTTTTACTGAAGCCCAAGACAAAGGAGATGATGTGCATTCTTGTGGCTTCTCTGTCATCGTCACTTCTGGGTGGGCCCCGATCATCGTGTTTGTTCCTGGTGCTTGGCTGGATTTAGATAATGAAACCCACCCCCTGGTGCCTGAGCTGAAGGTCAGGCTGACAACTCACCTGCCTCTGGCAAGGTGTGTTTCCAGGGCATGGCTCTGCGGGCACCGCTGGATTCAGCTGACAGTCAGCTCAGGGGCCTTTCCCAGGTGCTCTCTACAGTCCCCCACACAGGGAGCCAGAATTTCACAGTGAGCGCCCGCCAAAAAGTGTATGTGTGTGCATTCTATTGGAAAAGTGTACGTTTGATTTCTAAATGTGTTTCGTTCACATTTTTAGAATTAGCTTCTTTCCCCTCGGTGTTACTTTAAAATCCCCCGTGGCGCTCTTTATTGTATTTTTCCCTAAAGAAAAATGTCCCTGAATTGTTATCGTTACTCAAAGTGACCATCTTGCAGTTGTGTGACCTGGGAGCAGGCCCAGTCCCACCCAGGCTTCAGTCGTGTCTGAATCTCGGGGAGTTCTTTGAGTCTCGGTGCCTGTCTGTCCCCGCGCCCAGCAGTGACTGGCCGGGCGCCCGAGGTCTGATGGGCGGCCAGTGTGCGGACCCTCCCCTGCCAGCTTCCCCTCCCCTCCCTCCTCTCTCTGGGGGAAGCACTAGAGATGGTCCCTGGAAAAGGCACATGCAGAAGCTTGAGCTGTTGTTAGTCGCCCATATCCACCCTCGATGTTTTTCTCAGAAACCTAGGGGGTGGGACGGGGCAGAGCAGGGTCGTGGAGGTGGGAGCCACAGGGGGACCTGAGGAGCCGGTGATGGTGAGACTTTTGAGCAGCTGCCCTCCCCCAGGTTCACTTCGGCTCAGACCTAACTCTCGGGCTCTGACTGGGTCATGGGGAGACTCAGTCACTGGGAGACACGGTCACGGGGAGACACGGTCACGGGGAGACACAGGCGGGACAATAAAAAGCCCGTCGGGGTGACACATTCACCAAAACTCCTTTATGGGTGCGCTTGGCACGTGTGCATTTTCCTGTGTGAAATTAGACCCGGTTTGTGAAAAATAAACAGATGACGCATATTAGAATTACCAGTAAAATAAGACTTGCTCAGGGTTTTATGCCCAAACCCTGTGGCGGCAGGCACTCCCGCCTACGTGGATGCTGCTGTGACGGCGCGCTGAGGTCTGCGACCGTCTAGACCAGTGATGGCGAACCTATGACACGCGTGTCAGAGGTGACACGCAAACTCATTTTTTTGGTTGATTCTTCTTTGTTAAGTGGCATTTAAATATATAAAATAAATATAAAAAGTATAAGTCTTTGTTTTACTATGGTTGCAAATATCAAAAAATTTCTATATGTGACACGGCACCAGAGTGAAGTTAGGGTTTTTCAAAATGCTGACACGCCGAGCTCAAAAGGTTCGCCATCACTGGGCTAGAGCGTGTTTCCGTTCTCCCCGGGTTACAGTCCCCGCTGCCTCTGGGCCTGCGGGTCGCAGACAGTCCGCTCTCTGTGCGTCTCTGAAGGACGAGCTTGTCATTGGGGTGACAGTGAATGCGACGCGGTGGAGCTGGGGATAGATGAGGGCGTTTCTCATGTGACCCCAGCGCCTCCCGGGGCAGCCAGGAGCTGAGTACCTTGTGTGGCAGGAAGTGCAGCCGGGGACGCAGCGTGCGAGATCCTGAAAGCTGTTCCCCGCGTCCTCAACCTGTGCCCCCCTTTCCAGCTCGCGATCCAGGTGTCCAAGGACGTGCTGCCGGGCCGCGTGCCGCTGTGGGTCATCCTGCTGAGCGCCTTCGCCGGCCTCCTGCTGCTGCTGCTGCTCATCCTGGGC